CTACCAGGGTGGAGGCCATTATTACTAGTAACAAGAAGCTACTAGGGTGGAGGCCATCGGTACTAGGGTGGAGGCCAGTACTACTAGTAACAAGAAGCTACTAGGGAGGCCATCGCTACCAGGGTGGAGGCCGTTATTACGCCATTATTACTAGTAACAAGAAGCTACTAGGGTGGAGGCCATCGTTACCAGGGTGGAGGCCATCGCTACCAGGGTGGAGGCCATTATTACTAGTAACAAGAAGCTACTTGGGAGGCCATCGCTACCAGGGTGGAGGCCATTATTACGAGTAGCAAGAAGCTATTAGGGTGGAGGCCATCGCTATCAGGGTGGAGGCCAGGCCATTATTACGAGTAACAAGAAGCTACTAGGGTGGAGGCCATCGCTATCAGGGTGGAGGCCATTATTGCGAGTAACAAGAAGCTACCAGGGTGGAGGCCATTGTTACTAGTAACAAGAAGCTACTAGGGTGGAGGCCATCACTATCAGGGTGGGGGCCATTATTACTAGTAACAAGAAGCTACTAGGGTGGAGGCCATCGCTACCAGGGTGGAGGCCATTATTACTAGTAACAAGAAGCTACTAGGGTGGAGGCCATCGCTACCAGGGTGGAGGCCATCGCTCTTTGAAACGAAAAGAGACCTGGCCCGACGTCTCCAAACCGTGTGCAATTCTCTCTTGGCGCCGTTAGGCTTGCCAGCCTTCGTGACTCGCTCGGTGTCGCTGCTTTCTGCAACTGCCAGGGACTGCCATAGTGGAAAATGCAGTGGAGCGCTGTGAATTGCTGTGATCTACCTGAACTGGTTGGAGGTTCTGAAACATTTGTTGATTGTCTAGGTGATGGCTTGACATTGTTGGAGATGGCACTCCAAACTGAGAAGAGGCGCGGGACTCGCCCCAAGTTTGGGATGCTGTGACCCTAAAACTTTCAATTCGGAATGTTTTGGTTGAACTTAGTATGTTCTGAATGTTCGACTCTCCAGCGTAAGGTGCTTGGGTCTTGTGGTCCAAGAAAGAATGTAACGAAAGAAACTTGGGAAGATGGAAGGTAGGAAGGGGAAAGAAGGAAGAACAAGTTTTACATATAAAGGAACCATACTCACTTGGGATGACGTTGCGCCTCCAATTTGCTGCCAGGAGTGATGAGCCTTCTGGGCTACAGTGGTTTTCAGACCGTTTGGGAGCTGTCAAATCGGGGCCACTGGCCACGCTATGCGATGGCTACTAGGAAGAAGCGTGTTTGGCCAACGATGGTTGTATTTCCTTGACTTTTGTGTTAAAGACACAGAGCAGCTAGACTCTAGTCACATTTCACAAGCCTGAGGTTTTTTGGCGACTGCCACATATACTCAGCGCACTTTCCGACTTTTGCGGGCATGGCCATGTTCTGCAGCGGATTGCTCCCTTTACATCTCAAAAAGGACCGCAATCCGTTTTCTTTTTCTTTTTCTCGTGAGATACAATGAGATATACATTTTTTTGGATTCGTCGCAACTCTTCGCATGGACTCTGGAACCGAAAGGTGCGGTTAACAGCTTTTGTAACTTTGCAACGCTGGATTTCTTCTTCTCCCTTTCATCCCGTTGGCGTTGCTCTCCAGAGTTGTTCTTAACACACTCTGGCGTCGAGTCAAAAGTGCCAATTGGACAATCCCGCCAGTGCGCAGGAAGAATCGTCCTGCGCCCGGAGATGGATCTTTGATGGCCTTCTACCGGGAAAGAGACCCAGATGAATATAGGAATTCTGCAACCACGGTGTGAGCGAAACTAGAGAATCTCTGGCCCTGCAAAAACTAGTTACTAGAGGCGATGCACTTGTTTCTACTAGCTTCTTGTTACTACTAGTAAGGCACTTGTTACTAGAAGCGATGC